TCGAAGTTATGGCACGAAACGTTACACAAGAAAAATTTACTAAGTACAACATCGGATGTAACATGTCCCATGACTATATAGTAATAGCTTGTATAGTAGTAATAGGTATTTTTAATAACACCTAAACTGCCGCCTTACCTAAAGTATAATGGCGTGGGCTTGTGTTTTATTTAAATGTCTGAAATAACATTCTTTAGTTGGAGAATCCCAATTAATTAACTTTTTTGCATTTGCTCTTTACTCGCGAAGCAAGCTGAAAGAAATGGCTTTCCACCTCTGGCGTATTAGATATAGATAGTCCTCATATTTATTCTTTGCACAAATCTGAACCTGTCGCGAATTTTTTTTCGATTTCAGGACTCGATGCCGCGTTAGGCTCACTGCAGCAAGCAATACGTGGGGAAGGCCTTAGTAGCGATGACGATAAAGCCTTGTCTGGGACTTGGTAATATATTATATCATGATTTCCTTTCAAACATATTAATATGGAGCTTGTAATGATCGTGAACAATCTTCTTTAATCTCCATTGGACGGAGCGCGACAGTGAGCAAGTGAAACTGCAAGGGCTTCGAATAGTCATCGATCTCTGGAAGGTACGAAGACGGCGACCAAATCAGAATAAACTTTTTATGTTCAACTCGTTGTTCGTACTGACACAAACAAATAAACGTTTTCTAACAAAGTATGTACAGTATACCAGAAACATTATTGGAGGTAGAATTGATGACGCGTAGAGAATTACCACCCACTAATTACCATCTCATCTGATCCAATACGCTAAAGCCTGCGCTTGACTGTATTACTGTATCGTCAGCCCAGATGTTCAAGCCTTGTTCTTCTAATTATTCATAATCGATTGCATCGTGGTTTTCCTGCCGATTGATCGGATCAAATATACGTATTTACGTTAGTCGACAGAAATAAACCGGCCTTGTCGCTGGTCTCGATACAATTGTCACCATGGAATCACTCCTCATGCCCACCATAATCCTAAAACATCTCTGCTTTACTCACCTTGAATGAGATTCACATGAGTCGCGAAAATTCGCCGACTCGTTTGGCAAGTCCTGTCATGAGATTTTGATTCCACTGTGCTTAAAATTGAGAACTGCATGATACACCTAGACAGAATTCAAAAGTTCTTAGGTGAGCTAACGAATCGATAGAATAAACGTTCTGTATTTCCCTGCATGAAGCTAGCGTATAGTAGAATATCAAGACTTACGCCCAAATATTGCATCTCCTCTTCTAAATTGTCGAGACACTCGGGTTGAATTCAATGAAAACATGGTTATATTTCTCTTCTGCATTTCGTATGATCGCCTCGTAATCAGCATTACCGGTCGTCCGACCTTCCGATCACTTTCATGTATTCAGCCAGAAAAGCTCGCGCACCGTGGAACAAAAGCCATGTATATGTGTTGCTGCTTGGCACCATTGCATCTTCGCTAAAGCCAGAAGCAAAATAACAAATTAAATCATCATAACACCACTCCAAGTTAAAAGATAGATATCTCTCGACAGTATGTACTTGATGCCCAGCATGTGATCCAAAACTGTCAACGTTCAACTTGAATGCGGTGAAAATTCATGCTCCTAATCGACCTTTCTGGTAAGCTGGATTAAAGCGAAATCGATACATACCCAAGTGTACAAGCTATCTGGACCTCTAGCTCGTCTCCCTGTGAAGCACCAGCTTTGAACAAATCAACGATTGTCTTTACACCTTTTTCTGGGTTAGATAGCAAGGCCATTCCGTGCAATGCCAGATTTGACCTGTATGATTATTTACTGCCAGAGAAAATGCGACGATCCAAAATTAAAATAGCAAAGTTATATCACGTGTTACCCGGTCATCGTGGAAGCGTGCTTATGCCATTACGCTTAATTAGGCTCTCCAGAGCTATTTTTCTAAAGAAGAAAAACACAAGAGGTTTCCAACCTTTCTAAGCACACTTTTCGGGCTCCTCAGTTACTCTGTATGAGGATGGCCTCCCCAGCAAAACTGCCTACTAACCAGCGTTTATTATGCAACTCCAACCAACTACGCCCCTATAACCTCTCTGTTCCATAGTGTGCGGTATTATCCCGCAAATCAAGAAACCCACGTTGTCTGATGGAATTTGACAGCTATAACCTGAAGAAGCAATTTTTCAAGGGCAATTATGCAAGACGAGATAAATAGTACTAGAATAGTGATTATACATTAGTAGGAGGCAATAGTAATACGGATTGGTAACCGTAGACAAAGATGTCAGATATTTGTTCACATACCTGCTAGTATTCTAAGTCGGTCCACCGAGCCAGCATCTGCCTACTGACTTTTTGTGACTGAAATAAAATGACAGTATTGCGCGTTGATTCACGCAAAATTTTCGGGGTTTTTAACGGTTGTTTGTTATGTCGCACGAAATTCTTCACTTTGATTCTTAATAATCCCAAGCTTTCCATTTTAGCGGTCACCCCCCTGGCCCTGCTCCCTCAGTTATACTCGTATGACATATTACTTTCGCATGACAAGAATAATAAAGACGACAATGTTTGCAAATAGCAACGTAAAAAGAGGAATACAAATGATACGCCCACCGTGAGAATGCACTTGGAATTATCTATCTCATTCATTGTATGATTTACGCGCAACTTTATGGCAACGGAAAGCTCAATAATCTTCAAACACAACAGTATACATGGGAGAATTACTAGGCTCGGCTGGAGCTTGTAAACGTTCTCAACACCGGATTTATTAACACATTGATGAAAAGACGCTTGGGATTATGGGTCCAACTCGGCAGAGGACAGCAAGCGATACTGTTATCAACTTTGATAACGTTACGCCTCAGAAATCAGCCTCTCAACAAGTATCAGCAGGGACATTATCATATGAAGAAGCCCAAGAAATTAAACAAGCAGCAGTTATACTGTTTAAAAGGTTAATTGAAATATTGAGAGTAAAGCAACTGCTACTGGAAGAGGTAAGTTGGAGAACAGACAGACGTTGTTTATGATAAAATTTTTCTTTTGCCAATAATAAGCATAATATTCATTTATTAGAGACGAAGCAAACGTTTAGATCCCATCGCCGAGCCATTAACGTTTCATGCGCTGCTTAGACAATTTATACAGCTTCCAACGTTCTCAATGCGACCATGAATGAGATCTCGTTCCGAGTAGACTCGTTAGTCTGTAGC